CAAATTGCTAAAAAAATCGGGAAAAAAATGAATTTTTTTCGGTCTAAAGGTGTTACGCCTTACGACAAATATATATATATTTTTTTGGGGCACAAGAATTTGAGAAACTTAAACATACTCAATTTTGTTTCGTAGTAAAAAGTTGGAAGAATTCGATACTGTGCCTAACATACCCTTATATACTTTTCGTGGCAAAAAAGAAAAAAAAAAAAAAAGAATCCGAAAAGAAAAAAAGATGGATTAATGTTTGTACTTACACAATGCCTTCGGCAGCGCCAATAGCAATGTTCATCCGCCTGGTCCAGTCGAGCTGAGATTCAGCGGAATGCTGTCCGTGAAGATGCGAATGCAAGCTCAGATTAGCCATGTAATCGTACACGATAAGACGTTCTTGCCCCTCTGCGCAATAGCCACGCAGGCCGAGCAGATTCTTGTGGCGCACACGAGCAAGTATCTGGACTTCCACGGAGAATTCCGTCTCCGCTTTGTTACTCCACGACTTCAACCGTTTTACAGCTATCTGTACGAGAGAGAGAGAGAGAGAGAGAGAGAGAGAGAGAGAGAGAGAGAGAGAGAGAGAGAGAGAGAGAGAGAGAGAGAGAGAGAGAGAGAGAGAGAGAGAGATTTGAGTTTAATCACAACTACAATGTATAATCAATTAATCACATTAAAAACATGTTTGATTAGTGATTCTTAATCTTACTTGAGAACCATCCCAGAGTTGACCCCAATAAACACTGCCAAATCCACCTTCCCCAAGCTTGTTATCATAATTAAAATTATTTGTGGCTAATTGCAATTCTTTCAGTGAATAAATCCTCCACGTTGACTCCTTTCTTCTTTGCTTTTTCCTGTTCAAGATTAACAACAACAACAACAACAAAAAATCACTTTTATGCAAAAATACAGCCAAACAGAACACTGCACCACTCCTTCAATTTCTTATGCATAATGAAGTGGCTTAATACAATTATCAAAAAAAAAAAAAAAAGCACATACCGATCTGAACCCTTAACACAAGAAAACATTGAGCAGAAACCCATGAAATCTTTGTAGCAAAATCAGCCCTTTTCTGCAAAAAATCACAAGAATTTATTAAAAGGGTTGGTTATGTTTGCCTCTTCACTTAAAACCCATAGCTTCCTATTTTCAAGGGTTCAAAGCTACTAACTTTAAGGAATTAAAGAAGATGTTTGGCAAGAAAATGGAGTTTTTTTTAATTTGATTTCCAAACAGACCGTTGTGATTAATGCTTCTCAACAAAGTGGTGGTTGATTGAGTAAAGCCAATTGATAAGGAACATAGATAAAGTTGATTGGGTGTTGTGGGTTTTGCAGAGGTGAGGGAATATTTGGTTTATGACAATCGTGGGTCAGTGCGTGTGTGTGTGTGTTTTAAGTCTTTTTTTTTTTTCTACTTTTGTTTGAATGCTTGTTGGATCCCTCTCAATTTTTTAAAATTTCAATCCTCAACGGGAAGTAGGGGAGAAGATTATTTGAAGGTTTGAAAATAAATATTATATTATTTATTGGAAATAAAACTATTTAAGTAAATAATTTAAATTAATTTTATGTCTAAAGATTCCAAATTCATAGTATTGTATTAGTTATGTCTAATAATAATACAATAAAATTTCAAATTCTTTTTTTTTTATTAGAAAGTTGTTCCGGAATCGTTGTGTATAGGGGTGAAAGTCGGATGGATCGGATCGGATCGGAATTAGCCTTTTCGGAATATTTCCAAAAAGTTTCGGAAGTACAAAATCAATTCCAATTCCAATTCCAAAATTTTCGGAATCTAAAAATTCATTCCAATTCCAAAAGGCCCGGAAATTTCGGAATTTCGGAAAAAAATCGGAAATCACATAAGCTTAAAATTTTCAAAACTTAGCGAAAATTTTCTAAAATGTTCATAATTTTCTAAAAATAAGAACGTCCACGTCGATAAAAGTAAAACTAACAACTTCTAAATTTTAGTTCAAAAATAAATAAAAATGAACACAACATAATATCTAATACAAACTTCTAACAACAATTCATCATGTCAAAATCCTAAAACAAAATTTATAGATGTATTTTTCGAAAAAATAAATATTGTATAATATTTATTATTTATAGGTGTATTTTTGGAAAAATATCGGAATTTTTCGGAATTAATTTCGGAAATCAAATCGGATCGGAAATCGAAAATTCCAAATTTATTTTATATAATTCCAATTCCAATCCAAAAAAATCGGAAAAATTCGGAAATCGGAATTTTGGAAGTCGGAATGAAAAAAGTTGTTCCAAAATCGGAAATTTTCGGATCGGAACCGGCGGAAATTGGAATTTCCGTTCCAACTTGCACCCCTAGTTGTGTAGATCCCAAATTCATGTGTAATTGAATAAAAACTATCCCATCCGAATAAAACGATACAATAGTCACGGCATTCAACAGTTTTGTAGATGTTGCACTCAGTGAAATACACCAAGTGATTTTGAACCATTGATCTACACCGAGTGATCTTGAACCATTGATCTACAGATAATAACGTACACTGCTTGATTGGTGATTATTTATATAGATCTATGGTTCAAAATCGCCTGGTGTGTTACAGTAGGTGTAACATATGACCATATACAACTCAAATTCAGTAGACCAAATTAAAAAGCACATCTTAGTAATGACGATACGTGACAAAAGAATATTCGAGTAGTAATAGATGTCAAATGAAGACAATTGTTTTGTTGGCAAGAAATAAAGATTAAGCATCCGAAAAACGAAATCTACAAATACAAATACAAAGTTGGTTAAACTCATGATATATATTCAGTATTCACATTATGATCCACTAAAGGGTAGAGATTATAGAGAAAGAGCACATATAATAATAACACTGCCAAAAATGAATGAATACGAAAAAGTTACTCGATCTCTCTCTCTCTCTCTAGACGACGTATAGCATTTTCGATCGCAATTACAGTCATACGGTGATTGTGAACAAGTATAATTTAAGAACCAAAGCAAGTGCCAGCTGGAGCAAGAAGATACCGGCTACAATGAGGAACCAACTTTCGCCTGCAGATTTTATGTGATTTCTGAGGTTCAGTGCAACAAATGTTGCAGACATCAACCCAGCTACACCAGCTATTACCCATCTAAATATCTCCTGGGGAATCACCGATAAACACTGCCCAAAAAAATTAAAAAAATTAAAAATAGATAGAATTATGAGCATCGTAAAAGTTGGAAATATCCAGCATGACCTAATATTTTTCTCAAAAAAAAATAGACCTAATATTATATACTATGACCTATGTACGTTACGATGGAACGGAACACATCATAAGGGGGCAGATCAAATTAGTATGTGAAAAATAATACTACGACGAGTAAAAATAAAATGAAATGTTTATCTTACCAAAGCAGGAATGAAGACAAACAGCGAGTAGCCATAGAGACAAAGCAGCTGAACGAAGCCAGACGGAGCGGAGAAGTATTTGAGGACTATATACAAGGCAAGAGGCACTACAGTGACATAGCCATAGAACAATCCAGCAGACCAGGTCATCAGGTTGATATCGTAGTCCCATTCCTTTTTTTGCAGTTTGTGCGCTAAGTAGGTCACAAATGTACCGATGGAAGCCGCTACAAATATCAAGGTAGTGCAGATCCAGAAAGGCCCATACCTAAGCAGCATGAGTAGGTTAACGGCAAAACCAAGTTTTCACAGCAAAGATTGTGATACAATACAAATGGCTCTGGTTAAAAATCTTAACTAATGCAATCCAGCAACAGAATCGAACTAAGGCATAAATACAATAAGCCACACATTCTAGTATTCTAAATACAGGAGATGGTATAAGAATTGTCGAAGTCAGATGAAGTTGGTTTCGTTGATAAGAACCGGTAAAAACTACTCAGGAAGAAGTTATTTTGTTGGCCGGATTATATACTGACACACCACCAGACACCATTATCACACTATTTATAGTAAATCTCCACAAAGGATCGAATTAAAAACGTAGAGATATGCTCAAAGTGAGAATGGAATGGATATATAGACCACGATTCCAAATGGGAAAAGGCAGACGTGGAATTTGGGCCCTTGGTGCAACAAGAAGAAAGAATAAATGAAAAACAGAGGCACTGGCGCACTATACCCTAATATCAAAGTTAACGGCCTAATACATAAAGATGAAGCAGACCTTAAAGATTTTCAAAAAGTTACACAACTCAATAAAGTAATCGTTCTTCTTAGTTTTCTAATTGATCAATACATAATGAATGGCTCTATGATTAGTGAATAAGAAGGTTCCATATGTGTAAGACAATGATGGACAACTTCGTAGAGCACTCTTAGTAAGAGAAACAGTGGTTGGGAGCACTTTTCTTGGAGGATCTACATGTGCGTGAATAAGCATACTTAGATCTAGAAAGATGAGGTATGTTTCAAATCCATAATTGCAAAATGAAAAATATCGAAACCAACTAACTAAATGCTTGTATAAACTCCATTAAGTTGCGTAAAATGAAAGCAATAGAGCAAAACTCACAAGTCTGGATTGTTAGCAGTCTTTTCTGAGAAGCTTCCTCTGAAAGGGAACAATGAATCTTTTATCCTTTCTAGAACATCAGACGTGTCAACATCAAAATAGGGCCTGTATGCCGCAATTGTGAAGGTTCGAAACCAACCACTTTGCTGGGGCTCATCAGAACCAGATGCAGGTTTGCCAAATGTATCTAAATCAACAAAGGAAAAGTATAACTAAATTCCCCCTCAAACACAATGACAGTAGAATAAAGAAAAGGAAACTAATCGAAAACACACCCAGAGAAAAATGTGGGAAGGAAAAAAAAAGGCTCTGACATGATTTTTTTAACAAAATTACTTAATCACTTGGAATCTCTTCTTTTTATTTTGTTGGATAAGTGAAAGCAGTTACTTTTACAGGATTAAAGGAAGTCTCGCGAAGCGAAAGCCGAACATTGAAGCGACTAAAAATAATTCCATCCTCTAACCATGCAACTAATGTTTCACATATGGTCAATCGTAACATTGGAAAAGGCCACGACAAAAGATCTTCTCACTCTGTAAAAGTAAAAACTGACAAGTCTACTGCTGTAAACAATTTTAGTATCATCATTCATAAAATTCACCGTATTTTGAACAAGTTACTACTACAATGGACCAATTTTGGATCAGATTTTGAAAGCATCTCTTGTCTTCTGAAACCATTTCTTATAGGCTTCAATAATTTAATATTATGACCCTTGGCTATTCCAATATTAGAAACTCCTCGTCTAAACGAGAAATCGAGAATAGATATTCCAACTCAAAAGAGCAAGATCTAAATGACAACAAACAATCTTCATGTGCTTAATTTATGTTCTTTGTCTGCTTGTTTTAAGTGAACCGCATAAACTAGGGTTTATCGAAATAGCTCCAATCTCTCAATTCACGGTATAAACTCACAATAGCCAAATAAGGGGGAAAAAAATTACCATCGGCGTCGCGAGGGGGACGTGAGGCACCGGCGATCTTCCCCTGAGCTCCGGCAGGCGGAAATGTCTGCAGATTTGAATCTGGAAGAAGCACCGCCGTTGAATTTAATCAAATTAAACAAATTAATCCCCTTACAATAATCAAATTAAACAAATTAACTTTTACCATTAAATTTTACAACGACGTGCGGCGGCGGATCACCGACCGACTGCAAACAACATCAAAAACACAGAGAGAGAAAATCAGATCTACAATTAAAAAAAAATCAACGGAGAAAGGAGAGGCGAAAAAACCATTACCGGAACAGATCCGGTGACATTTTGATTGTCAATGGATGTGTAATTGCCGGACATCATCTTCGCTTCAAATCCGCGTTGATCTGCCAAATTACAATTTTCTGTATGTATATATTTGTAGATGCGAGTGTTCACAGCTGATGATTGAGAGGGGCAATAGTGTATCTATAATTTATATTCATTCGTTAAACCATTTTTGTACGGAGCCCACTGTAACTCAAAATTTTGATCTCTGGTTACTTTTTTTTCTTGCAACAATTATCACTGCAGAAAGTGTTTTAGGTAGATTTTGTTGTTGTACAAGTATTGTCTAGTAAATTTTATATTATTATTTTTTTGTTTAAAAAAAATTCTAGATTTCTAGGTGTAAAAAAAATATAAAATTAATATTTAAGGTATATATTTTTTTTAATATAGTTTATTAACTTTTTTTGGTTAAATAAATTATAACAAAAAAATCTTAATATAGATCACAATTAATTTGGGCCAACGGGCTCAGGAATTAAGGAGGTTTTTTTAGTGGGCTAATTTGACTATTTCCATATAGGGTAAATTACAAACACCCCCCTGAGGTATGGTCAAATTACAAAAAAAAACCCCTCTTGTTTGGATAATTACATCTACCCCCCTAAACTATGATTTTTTCTTACACCTCCACCCTTATGGTGCCAAATTCAACATAATCATCTAGATTCCGTGAAATGTGCTCTAGTTAGTACTCGTTTTGTGTAAAAATACAGTTTCCGATGCACCACAAACTGATACATACAAGCTAAAAATCACATATTATAATCATCTTGCTTCATAATGTAGAGATTGAATGGGATAAAACGGGTACAAAAGTGATAATATTCCATATAATCTCGAAGATTCCACTAAATTTGAGGAGTTGAGGGGGTGGTTGTAATTATCCAAACAAGAGGGGTGTTTTTGTAATTTGACCATACCACATGGGGTGTTTGTAATTTACCCTTTCCATATAACAACTTACCATTTGGCATTTTCTTTTTGCTTTTGAATAAATATATATTTGAAGTTTTATGGTAGTCATCTTTCTAATATTATTATCCTTATTATTAAACAAAAAAATTGTGGATGTGTCATAAAAATATTGTAACAATTTTGGTTCATAGTTTTTTCTTTAATGAAAACGCTCAGCCAACTATATATGTACACTGCATAAACCTACACTCTCGTATAATTGTTTGCAAATCACACGAGATATATAAACTACACTAGCCTAACTATAAGTAACAAGATCTACCTAACGACCGTTAATAAAATAATTCGAACCTAAATAAATTGACACAAATTCACTTGGTCAAACCGGTACTTTATCTGTTACACGATATTTTGTTTCGTAATTGAATCAAATTGAGGGGAGTTGTTGAGTTGTTTGGTACTAAGTCACTCTATCAATTCACAAGTTGAGGATTAATTAATCATAGTTTGGCAGTCTATTTGACGAAAAATGTGACCACTAGGCACTCATTATAAATATT